TGAATAAAACTAAAAGATTTTACAGTAAAATCAGCCTCCAATAAACCACTCATACTCAAGGAAACTGTAAACATTTTTATTCGTACAAAGAAATGTTAACATTAGAGAACATACTGTGAAAAGAAAACATATACAGGATTCTGTAAATGTGAACAGTTATAAACACAAACAAAAAAAACAAAAAACTCTAGCCTACCATACTGTAAATAAAGTTTCAGAACTATAGTACAGTAATATTTTCAGTGGTCGCCATTGTCACCCTCTCTTTCCTGGCCACATCCTCATCCCCCTGGCCATCGACGCGCTGCTCTCTGTCAGGCCATAAATTCTCATCCACATCGCAACGGATATTTTCTCTTGCGATGCAGCGAGGGAAGAAACGGCGTGAATCTCTCAACCATCCCCTACATTGATCCCCTGTGATGTCCTCACATGCAGCATCCATTGCATGCAGCAGGGCCCTCTGGTCTTGAGCCTGATGCTCATACACCCTCCACCTCCAAGCTGAAAAAAACTCCTCAATTGGATTTAGGAAAGGAGAGTAAGGTGGAAGAAACTCCATTAGCATCCGGGGATGGGTGGTGAACCAGGTTCTGATGCATGGGCCGCGGTGGAAGTTCACATTATCCCACACAATGACATAATGTGGTAGCTGAGGTCTTTCTTCACCTCTCTCATTTTCTGGGATCAGATCAGTATAAAGGTGGTCCAAAAAATTGAGGAGCTTTTGTGTATTGTAGGGCCCTAAACTGGGAATGTGTGGCCACACCTCTTTCTGATATAGCGGCACACATTGTTATATTTGCTCCTCGCTGGCCTGGGACATCCACAGTGGCTCGGTGGCCAATGATGTTACGGCCACGCCTTTGACCTTTGGCCAGGTTGAAGCCAGCTTCATCAACGAACACTAGGATGTGAGGGGTTTCGTTGCCTTCTAATGTCATTATTCTCTACAATAGAAGAGAAATAAATCTAATCAGTCAAGTAGAGACAGATACTGCAGGGAGGATCTAAAGTACTGTAAAAACAGGGAGTGGAAAACTGAAGACAATTTCTAGGCAAAATGCTCTAGTCACACAAAGCTGGATTCTGAAGGTAAAAAGGATAACGCAAAACAAAAAAACAGTGGTAACCATGTCTTACTGTAATAGTGTTACAATGATAGACAACCAGTAGTTGACTTACATGCACATACTGGTACCGCAGCCCTTTCACTCTGTCAGTTTCTCTCAAATGGTACCCTGTAAATCTGTTTCATGGTCATCTGATGTTTCTTCAATACCCGGTCTATTGTGGAGATGCTGATAGTTTATATTTTGGAACATTACATTGTCTAGCAGGATTGCATTACGAATCTGTCTCAGTGTGATGGCATTATTTGCAATGACCATGTTGCATATTTCTCGTTCTTGTTGTTCATTTAGAAGTTTTCTTCTGCCACCCACTTGAGGCTGTCGTCCAATCCTAGACATACAAGTCAAAGGTCAACACTGTAAATTTGTTACAAAATGAGTTACCAATGTAATTGTACTGCTGTTGTATGGTACTAAAAGTGTGATGCACTGCACAGTGACTGGAATACTATTCACAGTATTTTCTCCATTTTTATAGTATCATATAACATCACATGAAGATATTACAGTACTCTAGGCCTACACACACACCAACACTGAATAGTTCAATAGCATAGTTCTGTACCTGTTTTCCCTGCGAAAGGTTTGGATGCTGGAGGAGACTGTAGACCGAGGCACATTAGGCTGCACTCGGCGACCTGCCTCTGCCATTGTGAGGCGATGGTTTATAACGTGGTCAATAAGGGTGGCCCGGATTTCATCTGGGACATCATGGTGCCTCCGTGCTCCTCGGCCTCTTCCCCCTATTCCTTCATGCATTCTCACTCCTCCTCTTCCTCGAGCAGGAAGTTGCTGTTGTACTTTGCGAGGTGCTTCCATGTTCACACTGCAAATGAAACTGGCCCCGGGCCAAGCTCTGTCTATATACTTTTGGCAGCAGTCATAATCATAGACAACACCTGTCAGGTATCTAAACAACCTGTTTGATTGGTCATCTGAGATGTGGGAAACTGCTCCTTCGTTAGTTCTAATTTCACCTGATTGATTGTCAAGTACTGTCATAACTTTATCAAATGTTCCAAGATATTCTTTCATGGTATTATATCTTTGACTAATTTTGACAGTTGAACAGACAATTGCGCATATGATGACTTACACAATGAAACCCTGCTGATATGTTTTGGAGTGAGTAACTATTTCACTGAAAAATCAACTAATCAGTTTAGATCGCCAAGATCTATTTATTTGGAAAATGTGCTAAATGTGGGCTCATTGTGCTAACTGTAGCTACTTGTACATAATCATTTGAAAAGAAGCACAGAGTCACTTGAGACATGTACTAAAGCATTTGCAATTTGATAAAACCAATGAAAAATGACATTCTGTTGTGAACAATTGCAAGGTGGTTTGGAGATTTGTCCATGTTATTTTGAGAATGTCATCTCGGTTTCAAGAAATGAGCCAAACCAATCGAGAAAAACTGTAATTTATTTTGTTCTGATCTTCAATTACTGCTCACATCAATACACACAACTGGGAATCTCCAATGCAGCTGACTTGGAACTTAACACAGACCCTCAAAGATCAAATATTTGGCTGTCTCATGTCACTAAAAGTCTGTTATTCAGGGTAATTACACTCAAGTTTTCAGGATGTAGTGTTATTTGATCAAAGCACAATTTTAATTCAAGCACTGTCAGACAGCAGAGTCAAACAAGCAAATATTTCTCAGCTCGAATAAATTTACTAGGCCACATAAACACGTACTCCTTCAAATAAGAGAAATTTTGTCAGTTTAAAGCTCATCAACTTTTTAAGCTTTTACTTAAATTATGACATGTTTTTTGCTTTAAATAATTTGCAACAGGCACAGAAATGACTGCCTGTGAAGTGAATTTTGCAGTTTGTGTGACTGAAGCATAATGCTCCTTGTCATGGGCCTGGGTGGACCCAGGGCTCATGTGTTATTTTTGGGAGTACTGAATACAGTATGATAAGTCTTATTAGACTATCTGATTGTTTATTGTTGTTTGTGGGTGTGATCTGCTCCTGGTCTCTCGTTTCCCTGTGTACACATTTGAGTGTGTGTGTGTGTGTGTGTGTGTGTGCGCGCTGTGGTGTGTGAGTTTTGCTGCCACACCAGGTATGGAGAGTCGTCTCACCTTTGAGCATTCCACACCTGGGAGTAATCACTCACCTGTTGCTGATCAGCCTAATCAAGGAAGCTATTTAAGAGAGTAGTGGAGCGGCAGACTGCATGGCAGTGTTATAGAGGACTGTGGAAACATGTGGACGGAGCAGAACACTGATGTACACAGGCACTGAGGAGGACACAACACTGTGGATTGTTGGCACTGTTTTATGTTTTTTTCTTTGTAAATAAACACACTGTCTTCATCCAGAAAGTCCTGCGTTTTGGTCCTACTTCAACCAACCCTGACACCTTATCATATCTAGTATTTTACTTCCCATTCTGTTGTCACCACTAAACTCTTGGGTAAAAAAGAGAACAACAGAAAAATAGTGCAAGGAAAAAAATGTCACCTAACTGTCACACAACAAGATTTCAGTCTAAAATAGGACATAAATTAGGGCTTGCTTCAGTCATGATTTGAGACAGTCTGCATTTAAACCTGAAGATGTGTGTTATAAATGTAGCCCAGGTTCTGTTACACAATACTGCTTCTCCTCTTTAGTTTGATGAATTCAAAAACTCATCAGACTGAGACTGAAGAAGTCACTTGGATGAGTGACGAAACGTTTCTTAATTTTTAGGATTTCCTTGCCTGGATGATTGAGCGTACATCAAGACAAATCCATTAACACGTTCCCAAAAAGCCACTTGAAGAGCATGTGAGGCTTTGGAGACGAGAATTTTCAGTGAATGAGCGAGCCATATTCAACACTGCTGACAGAATCTTTTATCTACAGCGAATGCATAAGAGGTTACCTTGGAGAGAAGTGCACTTGTTATAAGTCCTTCAGTTTTCCAGAAATCAGCCACGAGTTGGAACAGTACAAGTTCTTTAAATGTTCCATTTGAGTGAGGCTGTGAAATAACTCAAACGCTGCACTGTTATCGTTAATATTGAGCAGTCTAGTTGCACCGAACGGATCGATAAAGCAACCAGTGGCACAGGCTTCATTAGAAATATCCAGGCTAAATGTTGCAGAAGCTTTGGAACAGTTTTGGAGTAGCACTCGTTTAATTTGTCTCAGGCGACAGAGGTCTTCAAATTAGAGTCAAACTGAAAATCTCCCAGAGACAAAAACATTTCTCTTTAAAACGCAGGAAGTGAAATGAATGAGAAATCTTTTCTCACCCCGTTCTCTCAGACATGATGTTTGAGCCTGTACTCAAAATAATAAAAATGCGTTATTGTTGATTAAAAAAAACAAACAAAACTCCACTTAATTATTACCTGGAGTAAAGCTTCATACCTTAACAAATGCACACTCATATAGCAGCGCTCATTGTTTCTCACCTTTATTTATTTTGAACAATTCATTACGTCTTTGCCCTCTGAGCATAACCGATTCCTGCTGTAACTATGTCAAGCTACTTTAACATACATTTTGAGTAATACATCACATGGGTTTATGAAATGTTGAAATTTGACATTTGGATATGACAGTGATCATCAGTCATCAGTGTTTTTAGGGCAGCGTCTAAAATATCTACTAAAATGTGTGATAAATCATATCTGGGGCAATTCTTCCCACGTGTACCTTTTTATCTGACATGACATGAATATTTCAGAATCAGCTCCTTTGTACCAATCTCTGTGTCAACATTGACTCTCTCCCTGTTGTTCAAAAGGAAGCAGAGCACTTACTCTGTTTTTGATTTGCTGCTTCACAGCTGATGATACTTTGCTTAAGCAGTTCATGGCACATCCCACCATTAAGGTACTTTTCTGTAGGTGGTTGCTTATTTTTACCTGCACATATGTGTGCTCTGCTAAACCAAAACACTTAAAACACTGTGACAACACTTCCCCCTCTCAGGTAATGTCCCTCCCTCCTGGCTACAAAGTCAAAAGTTGAAATGGCTCCGCACACCCCGGCACTTCTTTCATCTCCCTCTTCCTGCTCTCTCCTTGAAGATGGTGGGCCTTTCTTTGGGAAAGCCCCAAAGGCAGCCTGGCTTGTGGTCTTTGATGTTTTCTCCCCGTCTCCCATCTTAGAGACCCCAAGTGCTAAGAAAATGGCTGGAGAATTGACATCTGGGATACATGAAAAGACAGGTTAAAATGCCCATCAATTAGATATATTACTTGAAACTTAAGTATTACAAACAAAAGCAGAAAACTTCTAATAAATTATTCATAGGGCCCTCTAATTGGACCTATTTTCTTAAAATGGCTTAAAATGGATTTTGGCTTCTTTCCCAAGTGGTGTGGAAAGAAAGTCAGCCAAACTCTTAAAGCACTCTTACTAATAATGAAAAACTGAACTGACTCTGAGATATTTCCTTGAGGCCAAGGAGGTCAATATCTTGGAAGAAAAAGTGTTTCAGTTTTTCCCCTTTCTGAAGATAAATGTGTTTGTACCTGTTAATAATTGCCACACAGAGGAAAGGTGAAAAACCTGCCGTCACAAACTCATCCTGGTATCATCACTCTTCCTCTGTGATCTTTTGTAGCTATATGGCTTTGTTACACTAAAAACAGTGGACTGAGATGCACACATGTGGACGCTCTCAAGGAACTCATTAAGCAGCCTGAAAAGAAATTGCAGAAATTTTTTTCAGTCAAGTTACGATGAATCAAGACTTTATCTTAAACCAATTTCTTAAAAATGTTACCCAGAAAACAGCATCTTAACATTTTTAAAGATTTAGTAGTAAATTTAAAACTTTAAGTCATCATTGTAATGCAGCTCACGCTTCAGTGGTTCAGGTAACATTATAAACATATCCCCAGTGTCACAGTGGGGAAAAATCCATAAATAAATAGCACAAACATGCATACCATTTCTGTTCCTCAGTGAATTCATGACCATAAACAGTCAATCAATCATGTCTTCAATTCAGCTGAAGCCCCCTGGGAAATTTGTGGGGTTGCAGATGATCCCTTGTCGTGGTCTTAGAACCAACTCCCCTCTGAGAATTACGTTTTTGTGTGACTGTGGGGAAATACTGCAATATGTGCAAAATAAAAGCAGGTGGATATTTTGATTTGAATACACCAACCAATAAAACCACAGATGGGTGACGTAAATAGCACTGATTACTTCATTCCGGTGCAAGTTTCTGCTGGAACACACTTGATACTGTGATCTATCTGGGTATTAGATTGATGTGTACCACTCATCCAAACAGACCTCACATACGGACAACCTCCACCAAGAGGATTAGCTAGTTTATTCTGCAATGTACAACATCACAGTGCATAAGAAAATTAAAATAGGCTCAAGTTTAGTTCAAAGAACATGACAAATGGCCCAAGACGTTACGCAGCCTCCAAAATCATCACATCCCTGAGTGTACAGACTCTGCCAGGCACCAGAGGACACCCCGGGTGTCCTATGACCCTGCCAGCTAACCACGCCTCTGCTGTGCTGGAGGTATTTTTGCCAGAGTGACCTATACAATGCTAGCCAGGCCTTGTTTAAGTTGTGGTTTGTGTATGTGTGTTCAGTGTTGGTTCAAAGTCTCATTTTTCTTGGTCTTTTGTCTTTGAAAATGAGCCGTTTTGTTCTCATTGTTTTTGTCGTCACTCATCCATCAGCAGTTTTCTACCTAATAATTAATATCTGCTGTTATTTCCATCAAATAACAGACAGTGATGCCTATTGATTTGTGAGCATTTGTACTATAAGCATCACACAGTGTTTGAAATAGTTTCTTGTGACATATTCCCTACATTTCTTATTCATTCATTAGGAAGAGTTATCCCCTCCTTTACCTCAAAGAAATAAGACTAGCAACTAAACAGAGACTAGATTAAAGTCCAGTGCTGTAGGTGTTTCAGGATCATGTAAAAAAAAAAAAAAAAAAAGCTTTCTTTACAACCCTGATTTAGTGATTTGGAATTTAAAATGTCATTTAATGTGCCTTAATTATACCCAGATAAAAGTGTAACAGTTTTGTTTCTGTAACTCTATATTTACATCCTCACCAAATTAAAACAGCATCATCTAGCAGCGTGGTTGTTGTCCCACTTACATGTTGTGGGCAGAAGCAGGCAGCTCTGCGGAGAAGAACACTCTCAGCATGGAGGTGGCCAAAAGGCAGAACACTGTTTGGCAAGAACATAATGTGTCTGGGTCTATGCTTCATGGTCCTCGGCTATCAGTGGAGCAGCTTTTAGGTACGTACTGGAAAATAAAATATTTTTAGTCCAATTCTTTTTTTTTTTCTGAATACATCACACGAGGCAGTGGAAGCATATTTCAATATCACTGTTCAACACCAAAATGTCTTTTCAGAGATTATATATACACACACACACACACACACACACACACACACACACACACACACACACACACACACACACACACACACACACACTATTTTGAGGAGGGTTGATAGAGCCTTTACCCATTTAGCCATTTGTAGGAAGATCCCGAGCTTGGCTATCTGCTTGTTTGTTGTGTAAAACAACACTGAATGCTCTTTCCTGCAGGAGAAAGTGCATGTAGGCGCTGTGTGGAAACGTAAACCATGAAAAGGGGATGTTCGCGCCTGCTGCTGATCTAGTCTGCTATGATAAAGTAACTTTTGATGGCTCCTTTTTTCATAAGGCATCACCACAGGAGGTTGCTCTGCATGTTGATTTGGGATGGTTGGCAAATCTCCCTCTTCAAATTTGGCAGATGTGTAAATCACTACACTTTGGAGCCTTCTCCTCTAATTGACATGAAGCACAAAAATATACATACATGCTCATCCTCCCAAACCTGGTCTGACCCACATTTTTTAAACGTTTAGACAAAAAATTAGAGAAAACAAAAAGGTCTGCTACACAATCCTTCCTGAAATAATTTATAGACTTAATTCCATGTGAAGGTTTCCCACTAGAGAAAAAAAAGCTTAAATTTCAGTGATTTTCAGCCAATGTCAGGGTTTGTATCTTATTTGATATGAACATTTAAAACAGGCTGAATCCAATAGCACACTTTGGTTAAAGTAAAACCTCAAGCTTGGTAAATGTAGAAATCAATACATAAGATGTTGTAACACTCATTTAATACAGAACAGAGAGTTCAAGGTAGGATTTCAGCTATTTTACAACATAATACGTCTCGGAATGAATGTGGTCTTCATATGTAAATACACGGAGGTACACCATCTGCTGCTCTGAAGCTCTCTCTCTGCACTCTTGTTTCTTTTAGGGGTTTTTCATTCAAGACTTCTTCATGAATATATTCCTCCTGAGCTGTTACTTTCATCTGCATACAGCTCAGACAGCGCACCCCATTCAGTACAATTTCTACTTCTTGCTGCCCCACTTTTTTCATCCCCTGCAGAGGAGAATCTATAAAAGCAGCTGTGGCTTCAAACAAAACATACACACTGAGGAAAAAACAGGGAGGTGGTTGAATGATGAAGAAAAAGGAACAACTCTTTAGGAGGGGGAACTATCAGTGCTGTTGCTGCTGATTAACCTTTAATTGTGAAATTTAAAAATGCTTTCATTGCTTCACCGCTAAATGCATCCAAACAGAAGACCTTAAAAGTAAAAGCTTATGTAAAACTGTCTCAGCTCTTTGCTTATCAGAAGCTTAAATAAGCTACTTTGCCTTGTTTGCAAGGCGTCTCCACAGTGGATAGCTCCACATGTTAATTTGGCAGTGGTTTTTTTTGCCCTGATGGCCTTCCTGACAACTCCAAAGGGGATTTGTCTTGAACCATGGATCTTCTCTTGTTAGGCTAAAATGGGTCAAAAAAAGAAAAGGTTACGGTTTGGCAGCAGTCAGCAAACATAGATGTGTGCTCAAACACCAATAGCACACACAAGTGCTGCTAAATGGCTGCAGCATAGCACAATAATAACATTTGACATGTTGCAGGGATCGGTTGGTCGACTGAGGGTAATGGCTTCAGCAGTGCATAGAATCTGACCGTACCGCCGCTGGTAATCCTGTAGGGAATTGTGGCTATTATAGAGATGTAGGCGACAGCCACCTTGACCAGCTCTGCAATGTGGCGAGTGACCTCTAAGCGCAAGCAAGGCAATTAACAGCAAATTAAATCCATGGAAACGACTTGATTGGATTATTTTGGTTGCCTCTGCCGTGATTTTTTTTTTCAGCATGGGGAAATGAGAAGCGAGCTGTAAAGCACATACCAGGAAACCTATTTTTGCCCCAATTACTGTGGTGTCTGTGTCTTTTACTAGACTGACAGAATGGAGTCTACCATGATACAGCTCTCAGGGTAAGCACAGTAGACCTCTTGTTGTGGTTCTTTAAGCTTTGGGCTACTGTTGCATCAAATATCGGACTTCAAAGGTTTGTGGCGTCATCAGAGAGAGTTCCCTACCAGGTGTGCTGACTCTAAAAAAGGGCCCAAGCATAGAAAATATTATTGCATGCTCTCTCAAACCTCAAATGCAACATATTCACCTATTATGGCTGAGACAAAAGCATCTCTGTGCACAAATGTAATGCTATCCTAGAAGCTTGGTGGTAGAATTATTAGGGTGAACACTCGTATCCTGCCTCTGCTATCCCATCTGTAGCCTCTGGCTCACATTTTTCTGATTACTTAGTAAACAGGTAAAATCTTTAAACTATGTATGGTGGATTTATTATAGGTGCACCTTCAGGCCATTTATTCAAAGCCTCACAGTTCTCTACTTCAAAAGCATGCATGCAAAGTATCTTCTTTACTTGGACAAACCTATTTGCGTCAGTTCTTTTGTATTTACATGGCATTAGGTCCCCATATGGCACCACATTTGCATTTCATTACACCGATGGTGTTTTTTTTGCTAAGCAGGAAGGCTGAACGTAAATGCACTGAATCATTTATCAGCTGAATGCTAATGTAAATGAGTGTATTTGTCTTTTTTTACTGTACCAATCACACAGCGGTCGAAACCCAAACACACTGTTTAAATTTGCAGAGCAAGAGTGATGAGCAGAATGCTGTGCCAGGCATCAGGAGTGTCACAGGAGATTTACTTTATATGACGACCAACGTATTTAACACAGGCACTGCCATCAGTATATTGTTCAGTCTTTGTAAGATCCATGTTTAGATTGCCAGTTTGTCTGGCAAACATGCTTTTGAAATGGCAATTGCTTGAAAGAGCACTTTGAATCTTAATGTCATAAATTGCAAGACTGGGAATCCCACTGACACGAAAAAAATGACTAGCTTTCAAACAAACAAGAGACAGAACAAAGGTTTGGTTTTCTCATCTCTTTTAGTGAGCATCCAGAGCTTTACTCTCTCGGGAGAGTGACTCACAGCTTCTGCACGTATCAGTTCATCCAAGGATTCAAACCGTAGTGGTTCCAATTACAACCCTTTTTATGCTACCTTTACAGTACAGCTGACCTTTAAGTTGGTCAGGAGCTAAGTGACTATTCCTGTAGAAATCCCTGATGAGATTCTCAAAGAGTGTCAATCAAGACTTGATAAGTAGACCAAAATAAAAGAGTAGCCTTAATCCTCATGCTGAAACAAGAATCCAAACTCAAACACGCCACAGAACCCTGAGACCATAACATCATTATTTTAATCATCATGATCATAAAAAAAGTTAT